TATATATATTGGCTCTTTATTGTTAAAATCCTTAGCAAATGACTGATTAAATATTAATGAGAGACAAAATTTACTGTATAAACATATGAATCATTTAGGACATGCTTACTATGAGCTGCTATGAAATGATTGTATATACTTCTGTAGAAGTCATTGTGATTTCAACTTTAAGTTTCAATGTTTGTACAGTAAATTTCACAATAATCTTTAAATGTATATTATTTTATACTATGATTCATCTCAGAGCTTATTGATGTAGTTAATGTTGTAAGTTGTTTGGAAATACCTATGAACCACTGTATATTATATACTAGATGAAGGGTTTTAAACATCCGAGACATCACATCAAGCAAGCCTTACATCTCAGCCTTTGCACAGTGACTCAGCTGAAACGACTGACTTCAGAAACCATGTGCACATGTTTCATCTCATCGGCGACGTGGAGGCGTTGCCATGGTAACACGTGATGATGTGTCTGTGCTGCTTTTGCAGAAGCTGTCTGACGTGGCTCCCAGCTCTTCGGAGGGCAGCACGGTGGACCTCAGACACTTCGGAAAAGATGGAGAAGATGCTTTGGACTTTGAACTTGAGGAATCTACGGATCCAGATGCCTGTTTCACACCAGGTGATGCTGCTAATAGTTTGTTCACTATAATAAGAACATAACATGTATTCTTTGGCTTTCAACTCTTGCAAAAAAGTTCAGTATTATCAGTGGGAAATACCATTGGGCCATGGGCCCAAAAAAGCATTTGGCACTTAAGTCGCGCTTAAAAAGTCTGAAGGGAAATGCATGTGTTGTTTTGTCAATGTTTCACTCAGCAAAGTGAAGACTTTCAGTACAGTTTGACATGAACATGAAAAGTAAAATAAATTGAAAATTTGCTGAAATTTAACTCATTCTCAGGCCATCTAAGATGTAGATCAGAACAGATTTGGAGAAATGTAGCATTACATCACTTGATCACCAATGGATCCTCTGCAGTGAATGGGTGCCGTCAGAATGAGAGTCCAAACAGCTGATAAAAAAATCACAATAATCCACAATCAATCCACACCACTCCAGTCCATCAGTTAACATCTTGAGAAGCCAAAAGCTGCATGCTTGTAAAAAAACAAAACAAAAAAAACAAATCCATCATTAGAATGTTTTAATTTTACACCATTGCTTCTGGCTAAAATATGAGTCCATAATCCATAATAATGCTTTCGTCAATGAAAAAGTCAATTTCCTGTTGTCCTTTCACATCAAAATCCACCAACTTATTTGTTCAGAACTGTTTTGTACCGTTTTCACTTGTAAACAATGCTTGATCTGTGCATATTTCTCTCCTGACCAGACAACTTTTTTTTTCTTTTTATTGGAGAACGCAATATTATGGATAAAGGACTCTTTAGCAGTAAGCAATAGTTTGAAATGCCTTAATAATGGATTTGTTTCTTACAAACATATTTTTTTTGCTTCACAAGACATTAACTGATGGGCTGGAGTGGTGTGGATTAGTTGTGGATTATTGTGATGTTTTTATCAGCTGTTTGGACTCTCATTCTGACGGCACCCATTCACTGCAGAGGATACATTGGTGAGCAAGTGACGCAATGCTACATTTCTCCAAATCTGTTCTGATAAAGAAACAAACTCATCTTCTTGGATGGCCTTTTCAGCACATTTTTGGGTGAACTATTCCTTTAATGGTGTGAAAATATGTTCAGTTATCAGTTTCAGTATCAGTATCAGTTCAGTTTCTAAGTAAAATTTCCAATAATAGGTTTGAATTTTGTTTTTCAGGGTGTGTCCAAAAGTTCCCGTGCTGCCAGGTGGATGTTGAAAAGGGCATGTGGAAGAAATGGTGGCTGCTGAGACAGACATGCTATAACATAGTGGAGCACAGCTGGTTTGAGAGCTTCATCATCTTCATGATTCTGCTTAGCAGTGGCGCTCTGGTGAGGGAAATGCATGTGTGTTTTTGTTTGTGTATGTGTCACTCAACAAGGTAAATCCTTGACTCACTTTCAATAGAGTTTGACGTCAACATGTTGATAAGCTGGTGACACAATACTCAGAATAATACTTGGCACATACAAATATTGTTGGTTTTTATTACCTGTTTTAAATTTTATGGCCATTTATAATCAATATTTTTCTTGGATGGATTTTTTTTTCACTCAACTTGTTGCAGTCCATACTGGTTTAATTCTAATCCTTTATATCTTTACATCTCAAATGTTTTTCAGGCATTTGAGGACATTTACCTTAACACAAGGAAAACCGTAAAGACCGTACTGGAATTTGCTGACAAAGTTTTCACCTACATCTTCATTCTTGAGATGCTGCTGAAATGGGTCGCATATGGTTTTGCCAAATACTTCACCAATCTCTGGTGCTGGCTGGATTTTATTATTGTTGATGTAGGTTCAGCTTTTGATTAAATATAATGTCAAACTATATGCTGCACATACACCCTGCAGAATCTGCAAAATGTTAGTCATTTGTACAAAAATAAGAGGGATCATAAAACTTTTTTTTTTCATGCTGCCCTGAATAAAGTATTTAACATACAGATGTTTACATATAGTCCACAAGACAAAATAGAGTTCGCATTTGCTTGATTTCTATCTAAACAATCCACGACTGTTTGTATGATTTGCGATAGTCGTCACTTATTTGTTCTGAGCAGTTACTCTTGACCACTGTTCTTCAGAAAAATCCTCCAGGTCTTGCATGTCTTTTGGTTTTCCAGGATCTTCTGCATATTTGAACCCTTTCCAGCAGTGTCTATAAGATATTTTACATAAAGAACATTTGTGGGACTCTTACAAAATGTGCAAACATTCACTGATGCTCAAGAAAGAAACATGATGCATTAAGAATCAAGGTGCTTAAAAAATATTAATTCCCTCTTATTTTAAAATATATATATAGTATATATTTATAGTAATTATGGCTGTTGAGATACTATTATAGTTTTATTTATTTTGAATTACTTTTTATGTTTTCGTTTAATTTTCATTAAAGTTTTATTAATATATACAATATTTTGATTCTTTATTTTCGTTTGAGTTATTTTAGTACATCAAGTTAAATAAAATGGGAAATTTTGCCTTGACAACTAGCTAAAGTTTTTTTTTAAATACATATTTAAATATTTTTTTAGTCAATAATATGCAAATATAATAAATAAATAAATAATTCCTTCACTTATAATTCCTGGCAGTAAAATAACGCAGAACTCAGTACTGGCTGGTGCAAATATTGCTCTAACCTGCCATGCAGGTTGCATTTAGCTCATATTTTGTGTGCAAGTTTGCAGCGGGATTTGCATGAATCCTTTAGTGAACTGGGTGCTAAAACAACACAGACAGCAGGTGCACATCAACTCATAAAAGCACCATTATCAAGAGAGCATCAATGAACTGAGAATGATTGACTGGAAATGATCGCTTTTGTGTGTGTTATGCATGTGGGCACTTGAGACAGTGCGAGTTTATACTGTTTGTTAACAGTTGAGTGAGTAAACTGGACATTCATACATCTGAAAGGCCATTTTCCCATGAGAACCCGCAGAGAAGTCGAGATTGGAGGAGGAAGGAAGGGATTCGTGTCTGTTTTTTTCCCCCCCTAATTAGCTCTGTTTATGTGTGTAGGTCTCTCTGATCAGCCTGGTAGCCAACGCCCTGGACTATCAAGATCTGAGCGCCATCAAAAGTCTCCGAACACTGAGAGCCTTCCGACCGCTCCGAGCTCTCTCACGTTTTGAGGGAATGAGGGTAAAATCTCTTAATGTCGACTATTTATTCATTTACATATATGAATAATTATTTTTAAAATTACATTTACTTATATGATAAAATTATATATATGTAAATTATATATTTATAGAGAACTTACATATATAGAGGGCTTTATTCAGTCAAAGAAAGGCTGACTGACCTGATTTCATTGAAAATTTACCATTTAGTTGCCTTTGGTATTCTTTTGGGCTTTTCACACTTAAAATGGTCAGTCCAGTGTCATTGTGGGTTAATCCGGGGTTATCTTGGTTAGCATTTAACTCTGGTTGGTCAGGTTTTGAGATTTCACACTGTACCATTGGTAAACTCTGGGTTAACGTTGTGCTTTTTTGTAAGGGCTGGGTATTGAGACAAATTTAACAGTTCGATTTGATTTTGATTCACAAGCTTCAAAATAAGAATCAATTAAAATCAAGAGATCAATATTTTCAACCCAGCCCTAATTTTTATATTTATGAAATATTTATCTTTGGAAAGATGCCACCATGCTTAAGTCTTCTGAAAAGTAAAAGACAAAAAATAGAATGAAGACACACAACTTTAAGAAAAGTGCATACATATTTAATGAGCTGAGCACTGATTGCCTCATTAATGGTTGTCTGTTGTGCTGTCTAGTTTAGGTTGCAAGTTCTCCTTGAAAAATGTAACTTTGATGAAACTTTGATAAAAGCAGAATTAAAATGCGCTTTGCAAAGACTTAAGATGTTAACCCATGGTTTATTGCAGTATGAAAAGCCCCTTTCAGTAGTTTTGTGTTTCTTTCTGGCTGGACATGTGAATGAAGTCCTCTGAGCAGGTCAGCTTATTAAAGTCAACATGAAACTGACATATAGTGCTTGCAATGAGGGGGAAAAATATATTATGGGGCTTGGTTTTATCTATCAGAAATTGATTACCAAAAGTCACATGGTTGAATCTTTGGGGTTGAAAGTTAAGAGGATTTAATGTAATCTGAAAATAAATGTTTTAGAGAGGGAGCAAATTATTAAATTTTGATGAAAGATTTCAAACATTTTCATTATTTAATACAAGGTTGCTCAAATTTTGTGAGTTGATAAATAGCTAATAATTAATTAAATAAAAAAGTATAACATTTAAATAAATAAAGTAATAGTTTATGCGAAAATTAAAATTATGTCATCATTTACTCACCCTTAATTTGTTCAAAACCTGTATGAATTTCTTTCTTCTGTGGAATGTAAAAGAAGATATTTTGAAGAATGTTGGTAACCAAACAGTTGCCGGTAGCCATTGACTTCCATAGTATGGAAATAAAAAAGATGTAATAATATTTATATTTATTTATTTAATATATATATTTAATATATATATTTAAATATTTATATCTAAAATTATAGTATTAATAATATATATGGCTAACTGTTTGGATACCAACATGCTTCAAAATATCTTCTTTTGTGCTCATACAGCAACTTGAGGCTGAGTAAATGACAGAATTTCAGTTTAAGGTGAACTATCCCTTTAAAAACGATGAAAATGAAACGGTAAAAAGATTAAATATTTTATGTTTACCCTGCATGTCACTGACATCAGAAAACCATAAACATGTGAATGTGTTGCATTTTTGAAAAATTTACCTAAAATCTCAGGTATACCGTACTTCAATAAATATTTGAGATCAAAGTGGTTAAGCTGACAGAAACGTTTGGGAAACGCAGCTTTAGTGTAATGTGCACATAATCATTCACAATAAGGCCATAAACATGCATTAAAGGGTTAGTTCAGCCAAAAATGAAAATGAGCCCATAAATTTTTCAGTTTTTCTTTTTTAATAAATCTGCAAAGATGTCAACAATTCTGTGTTTTTCTGTCAATATGGGGTGCTGTGTGTACATTAATGAGGAAAAAAAATTAACTTAAATGATTTTAGCAAATGGCTGCAATATAACAAAGAGTGAAAAATTTAAGGGGGTCTGAATACTTTCCGTACCCACTGTATATATATATATATATATTGGTGCCTTGTTGTATTTCTTTAAATTGCACCCTCGTCTTGCTGTCATTCCAGTTCAAACTGTAAATCAACATACTCTGGTGCCAATTCAATTCAAATTCAGCTGATTCTTCAATTCTGAACTTGGCACAATCATCTAAACTGCAAAACAGACAAAACTAGTGAGTGCACAGATCAAGGTGCACCGATATCTTTCCCTCTCCATTCCTCTTTCTTCTTTCCCAGCTTCTCCCCTTGTTCGTTATTGTCATTGCCGGTAATGATGTGTCCTCCATTGTTACTGCTAACCATTACGCACTGGGCAGTTTCTCATTACACTCATGTGTTTTCCTCTCTTTACCAAAACGGAGTCAACAGAATTAAACCTGGATGCACTTTGTTTTACAGGTGTATCAGGCCTATCATAGAGCTGGGAGAAATGGTTAAAAGGTTACATGATGATATGTGATCCCAATATCGATGTAATTGCGTGCTGCTTTTATTTCATTCAAATGAATAATCATTTCAACCAAGCAACCATTTAGAAGATTCAAAATGTTGAATATAAAATACAATAAAAATCTAGTTTCAAATATTCATGGCATGTTTTCTACATTGTTTGTCACTAGATAAACATGAGAAAAATTAACAATATAACACTAATATAACAAGCAATTTTACCTGCATATGTTTTTGCTTCTGTGCATTTTTGAGTTGCGGCAAATGAATCATTGAATGAGCTGTAAAACAAAGTGTTTCCGTGACGATTGCACTATATTCATGACACTTTGTACGTTTGTGATGTTTCTGTGGATGCAGGTGGTTGTGAATGCTCTTCTGGGTGCCATCCCCTCCATCATGAACGTCCTGCTGGTCTGCCTCATCTTCTGGCTCATTTTTAGCATTGTGGGCGTCAACTTCTTCGCCGGAAAGTTTTCTGAATGTGTAAACATTACCTCAGACAAGCGCATGTCTATCACAGATATCAATAATAAAACGGAATGTGATCTGTGGCCCGAAGAACTCCGCTGGAGAAAAGTGAAAATCAACTTTGACAATGTAGGAAGTGGATACCTGGCCCTGCTACAAGTGGTAAGGTTGCCCTAAACACCTGGTTAAATCTAGTAGAACATAGAAAATGAATAATGTTCCATCATAAGAAGAGATATTCAATATAATTGGGAAATTAGATATGTTTGGTTTATTATTAACAACAATAATATATGATTTATATTATTACTGACAATATGATTTTAAAATTAAAGACAGTACATCAAATTCTACCATGATGTTTAAATGAGTTTACAATATAAATACATAATTATAATGTTTATTTTATTTTTATTTAATTACAGCAGAAGATTATTTGTCATGGATAAAATCTGAGTGTTTACTATTGTCCTCTTGCATTATCGACACACTATTTTCCTGTTTAAAGGGGTCATATGATGCTATTTTAAAGATCATTATTTTGTGTATTTGGTGTAACAGAATATGTTGACATGCTTTAATGTTCAAAAAACATTATTTTTCAAATACTGTACATTATTGTAGAGGTTCAAAAAACTGTCGTCCATAAAATGCGTTGCACAAATTCAAACATCTGGGTTGTGCTGTTCTGTTGTAAATAAATCTTAACCAATGATTCCTAATTGCATCTAGTTCTGGAAGGCCAAATAAAGTGCTTTCGCTTTCGCACTGAAACACACAATGTCTCCCTGACATGCTGCATCAACACTATGTGTGTTCCTGAAACCACACCTTCTTTCTTTGCGTGCACATTTGGGCAGCAATATGCTAGTATTTCCAGTGGGGGCGTGTTAGAACGAGGCGTTTTAGGTAGGCGTGGCTGACTCTTAACTTTTATAAAGAATATCTCTTTGGATTTGAGACTTTAGTCTTTGCAACTTTACAGATCTTCTTTATGCACCAAGAGCTTGTAACACTCCAAAGAGAAAGGAAAACTTGAAATCGCATCATATGACCCCTTTAACAGTGTAAAGCTGCTTTGACACAATCTGTATAGTATAAAGCACTATATAAATAAAAGTGATTTGACTTGATGGAAATAATTTCACAGCGCAATGATATTAACGGTCCTAAAAATCAAAAAGTATAATGTTCATTTTTCTTCATATTGTCAAGGCCACCTTTAAAGGGTGGATGCCCATTATGTATGCAGCGGTAGACTCTCGCAAAGTAAGTCTTTTTTGATTGTCATTTTTTAATTGCTTTAATTCAAAAATATGATACATCATTCTTATAATGGAACCGTACTGGTGCATGTTGTCCTTCATCTCTATTTCTGCAGGTAGAAGAGCAGCCAGAGTATGAGGTGAATCTGTATATGTACATCTATTTTGTCATCTTCATCATCCTTGGAGCTTTTTTCACATTAAATCTCTTCATTGGCGTCATCATTGACAACTTCAATCAGCAGAAGAAAAAGATAAGTATCTATATACTATAAGCTTGACATCAAAGCCATCTTGATTTCTGATTTAGAATGGCTTAGGATGTTTTTTCTATTTCTAGTTTCCTGCACTGAAAAAAAAACTTTGAAATGATCTAGTAAACGTTACAAATAATTACAAAGAAATAGTAACTAACACATTGAATTACACATGAAATCTTGAATTAGAAAGACTGAAAAACTGTTTTCTTGTAACACTTACTCCAGTAGTCTTTGTTTTATTTACAACTACGAAAAAAGAATTTAATTTCGAGGCCGCCTAGATTTTCATCCCAAAATGATCTTTCTGTTTTCTGTCTTTACTTCGGGGGTCAGGATATTTTCATGACAGAAGAGCAGAAGAAATACTACAACGCTATGAAGAAGCTCGGCTCAAAGAAACCTCAAAAACCCATTCCAAGGCCAAAAGTAAGCATAACTTTAAAAAAAAATAGCTTACATTCTTATCATCATGTCATGCAAGAACTTTTCTTTTTTTCTATGAAATGCAAAATGAGGCAGAATGTCCAAGCTGCTCTTTTACCATACAACTAAAATGTATGGTGATTTTTCTATATGTATAGACTGCTCTTTAGACTGATTTAAGATCTTTTGTTGTATGGAATACAGAAGCTCGAACATTCTGCTTAAAATTCTGTTCACAGAAGGTATAAAACAAAAAGGGGTTGGAATAACTTTTGGGTGAACTATCCCTTTAACCCATCTTTTCTTTTTTGTACACTCAGAAAAAAGGTACAAAAGTTGTCACTGGGGCGGTACCTTTTCAAAAGGCAAACCTTTGTACCTAAACAGTCCATATTGATACCTTAAAGGTACATATTAGTACCTAAAAGGTACAAAAGTGTACATTTTGAAAAGGTACCGCCCCAGTGACAGCTTCTGTACTTTTATTTCTGAGAGTGTACAGTAAATGTCTTCTGAAAAACCCAATGTCTCTTACCTTCTCATTTATTTCAGAACAAGATTCAAGGATTCATCTTTGACCTCGTAACCAAACAGGCCTTTGACATTTTCATTATGGTCCTTATCTGGCTCAACATGGTCACTATGATGGTGGAGACAGAAGATCAGTCACCGGAAAAGAACAACTTGCTGTACTGGATCAATGTTGCCTTCATTGTGCTCTTCACCAGTGAATGTGTGCTAAAGATGATAGCGCTACGGCAGTACTTCTTCACGGTCGGCTGGAACGTATTCGACTTCATCGTGGTCATCCTGTCTATAGTTGGTAAGATCTGAATTGACCCTTTACTAAGCAATTGATTTATCAGTCCCTCCAGTTTTTCGCAGCTGCATGATCAACTCAAAATCAACTAAATATCTTATTTTCTCCAAACCAGCAAACATTTAACTGCTAAATAATCACAAAAAGTGATACAGTACTACTTAGTTATTGACACGTTAGTGAGATGAAGAAGCATGAATGAATGCTTGATGTTAAAAAGAATTATGTGCAATAATACGAAACACTCGTGGTCACATGTTTGAATGATCAAATGTATGTTAATTTATGTTATCTGTTATGTTTTGTGAGCATAAATAGTTGATAGAAAATTCAGTGCGTCAATATATTAGATCCATGCATTAGATCTTAAAGTGACAGCAGCCTAATAAACCTGCTGCCGTCTACGCAATTAATCATAATCAAAAATCTAAAGAAAATCAGTCACTGCTCTTGACTCAATAGGCTTTGTAGCTTTTACTTTAGTTGACTGAATAACTTTAAGGATCAGTATATTTATAGTAAATTCTTATTTTACATTTGCTTTGTACATGGCTACTGCTCCTATAACAGCTCATTTTTATCAGTTCTTTTGTCTTTAGCTTGTTATATTTCTCTATATATCAGATACAGATAAAGTATAAAGACTGCATTTATATGAATGCATTAGTGAGAGTGGCAGCGTCTCTCTACTAATAGTGAAGCTGTGTGTTTTAGTTACTAAGAAATATATGCTACAACTTTTCAGTTTCTAAGCTATTTTATTGAGAAATCACAGAACAGTGTTGACAATACATTTCCATGCTACTGAATGATTGTGTGTGCGCGAGCTGCGCGTGATGTACGAGCTACTGTCTGTAGATGTGTGTGCGTTACAATGCAGCAGCGCATTAGATTAGAACAGTGATTAACTTACCTGTACACAATAAGCTGTTTAAAACATGCATTCTGCCGTTCAATTTCGAGCATCCAGATGGTATAATCACACATGTCTTGTGGAGCGCTTTCGGAGTATGCATTTATTTTTCATTTTAACTGTGTGGAAAAAGTGTGTAAATGTGGATTTCAAAGATTTCTTATCCTGTTGCGCCCTCTATAGGACCAGCGACTAGTCAACGGCAAGCTTAACTGTCTGTGCAACCCCTACTTGCTACTTCTTATTTTTAACAAAAATAACTATCTTGTTTAAAAGTTAAGTGTCAGAATTAGGCAAGACACAAATAAACAATCCTTCTGTATTTTTTCCCTTTATGTATGACTATTGTATATCTAGTCATTTTTTCCTATTTTTAACAACAAAAATCTTGTTTAAAAGTATATCAGAAATTACACCACAAAATCAGTCATTTTGATCACAAAAATCACAAAAAAATCACTATATCCTCCTGTTTCAACATTCGTTTTCAACTCTTGTCGTTGCAGGCATGTTCCTGGCAGAAGTCATTAAGAAGTACTTTGTCTCGCCCACCTTGTTTCGCGTCATTCGCCTCGCCCGGATCGGCCGCGTACTACGTCTTATCCGAGGCGCCAAGGGAATACGGACCCTTCTGTTTGCGTTGATGATGTCACTTCCTGCCCTTTTCAACATCGGACTTCTTCTCTTCCTTGTCATGTTCATCTACGCCATCTTCGGCATGTCCAACTTCGCCTACGTCAAAAAATCGGGCGGCATCGACGACATGTTCAACTTCGAGACGTTTGGCAACAGCATGTTGTGTTTGTTTCAGATCACCACCTCGGGAGGCTGGGACGGCCTTCTGGCACCCATGTTAAATAGCGAATATCCCGACTGCAACCCCAATAAAACCTTCCCCGGCAGCAAGGTTATAGGCGACTGCGGGAACCCATCCATCGGGATTTTCTTCTTCGTCAGCTATATCATCATATGCTTCCTGATCGTGGTGAACATGTACATCGCTGTCATCCTGGAGAACTTCAGCGTGGCCACCGAGGAGAGCGCCGAGCCTTTGAGCGAAGACGACTTCGATAGGTTTTACGAGGTTTGGGAGAAGTTTGACCCGAACGCCACACAGTTCATGGAGTACGACAAGTTGTCGGACTTCGCCAATTCTCTGGATCCGCCTCTGCGAATCCCCAAGCCCAACCGACTGCAGCTGATCTCCATGGATCTGCCGATGGTGAGCGGCGAACGCATCCACTGTCTGGATATCTTGTTCGCTTTCACCAAACGGGTTCTTGGGGAAGGCGGCGAGATGGACATCCTTCGCGGACAAATGGAAGAACGATTCATGGCCTCCAACCCCTCAAAGTCCTCTTACGAGCCCATCACCACAACCCTGCGTAGGAAGCATGAAGATATGTCTGCTGAAATCATCCAGAGAGCCTTCAGGAAGCACTTGATCCGACATAGTATGAAGAAGGTCCGTAATGTCTACAGAGGGATCAAGCAGCAAAACGGCAAGGTCCCGAGTAAAGAGTCTGTTGACAATGACAAGTTCAATGATAGTGGCGCTTCAGAAGACTCTGGCGCAACGTCCGCCACGTCCTCTCCTAGCCTGTCGCAGAACACCACAAACAAATACGAGAAGGACAAACATGAGAAGGAAGTGGAAGACAAAGGTAACGGAGTTTAGATTAGCATTACGAACAATTGTTTACAACTTTACTTCAAGTTATTTGTCAGGGTCAGGTGACCTTGTCTGTTTGATGTGGATGTCTATGCCATACTGCCTGAGCATACTTGAACTTTGTGCCTATTCTGGAGCTGTGATTAACATGAGTTAGGCAGTGAAGCTGCTATGCTTAAACTGTTTCACTCGCTGGCGAAAATGGCGATGGACCAAATGTCATTGTGTTGTGATCTGATGCATTTTCTTTGTGTGTTGTTCAGTGTATTTGTGTGTCGGAGCTGCATCCAGTGTCTTGCATTTATAGGTGAAGTGTGTGATTTTTGTGCTACTAGAGGCAACCGAACCTTTAAGGCAAAACAACTGCTAAAGCAATTTCTCTCTTTTCAAAATTCAGCAAGGACACCAATAAATTGATGAAAAGTGGTCATAAAGGCGCAATTCTTAATATTACAAAAAGTTACTATTGCACCTAAATTCTGTTCTTTTGAACTTTCTGTTCATCAAAGAATCCTGAAAAACAATGCATCGCGGTTTCAACAAAAATATTAAGTAGCACAACTGTTTTCAACATTAATAATAAATAATGTTAGTATGAAACGGCTCTAAATCCGCATATTAGAATGATTTCTGAAGGGTCATGTGACACTGAAGACTGGAGTAATGGCGCTGAAAATTCAGTTTTGCATCGCAGGAATAAATTACATTTTAAAATATATTACAAAAGGAAATAGTTATTTTAAATTTGAATAATATTTCACATTATCACTGTTTTTAATGTATTTTTGATCAAATAATTGCAGAATATAAGAGACTTATACTCTTACACTATATAAGAGACTCAAAACCTCAAACTTTTGAACTGATAGTATTATATATATATATATATATATATATATATATACACCTTTTTTATGCTATATATATTTAACTTTTTACCGTTGGCATTACATAAATATATGTCACTGTGATATTTAAAATATCAGTTAATTTTTTTTATTGCCATCAAAAACAAATATACTGTATATATTTAATATATAACCAGGCCCTATTTGCTAGAAAACAGTAGTCTCGTCTGCCACAAAAAAAAAAAACAGGAAATTGGTTGTGAGTGGTTCAAAGTTTGTCTAGTTAACTTCACTAGTTTGCCCCTGATGATAGATTCTGTAAATACACCATTATGGGAGCAAAAAGCATCTTTCTCCATCTATCACTAGTGAAGGATATGGGACTGTGCGTGTTCTTGTGATGTTATTGTCGAGACGTCAGGAATTATTGCAATTTCCACTCAAATTGAACAGGAATGTTTGGTGCTTCAGTTGCTGCAGAAATGACACACTTCCTTTTTAAATGTCATTTATTCATCAACAGTTTGTGTTTGTTGAGAGAATTGTACGTTCCCTCATGTTTGTTTTTGTTTTTAAGTTAGCGTGGTTTATTGTGAGGTTGCTTTTTCCTATGTTGCTTAAGACGGGGTTGATGTATTTTTTTCTTCTTCTATTGACTGCTGCCGACCACTGTTGCATTCTGTTGTCGTCCATACACGTGTAATTATAGTTGCATGACAGCTCACCTGTAGTCATACAAGTTTCCCACTCAGTATTTCAGAATGGCTCAGTGCCTCTCAGGTCTCTCTTCAACATGCTAGAAAGCCATTCGCACACGTGCCTTCCCTACTCGAGAGCTTGCAGCAAACTCTTTCCTTAAAACCTCAAGACTTGCGTCACATCCTGAACTGTGAAACCTGTCGGATTTCAGCCTTTCCTGTAGCTGCTCCACTGATATTGCACTTGAAACAGCTTTAAAAGAATAGTTCACCCAAAAATGAAAATTTGCTGAAAATGTATTTACCCTCAAGCCATCTGAGATGTAGATGAGTTTGTTTTTTCATTGGTACGGATTTGGAGAAATCTAGCATGGCATCACTTGCTCACCAATGGATCCTCTGCAGTGAATGGGTGCCGTCCAGCTAAAATACGAGTCCTCTATCTATAATATTGCTTTCCAGTGAAAAAAATAATCTCATCTGAATCAGGAGAGAAATATGCACAAATCAAGCACTGTTTACAAGTTCAAACTGTCCAAAATGGTTTCACTTCACAAGATGTTAACTGATGGACTGGAGTGGTGTGGATTACTTGTGGATTATTGTGATGTTTTTATCAGCTGTTTGGACTCTCATTCTGACGGCACCCATTCACTGCAGAGCATCCATTGCTGAGCAAGTGATGGAATGCTAAATTTTCATTTTTGGGTGAACTATTCCATTAGTGATGCGTTTAGAGATCTGTTCCCATCATCTTCACTTCTGCATCGTAGCGGGATACATCAGTAGTTGCAAATTCATTTTTGTATATGAACACAGATTTGGTAAGGTAGCTGTTCTAGACCATGGCTTAAGCCAAAACTTCATCTTTCAGCATCCACGTCTTTGCATTTTTAAAGATTTCTCTCAAAAAATGGTTCTTCATATGTGTAAATATTTTGTAGGAATATGCCCTCTGTTACAGAATTTCTATAATGCAGAAATTATGGATTATAATCTATATAGGGAATGTGAAAGGTTTAAGTAAAAGGTTATGCATCATAAAAGCTAAAATACTAAATTATGCTGAAGTTATATGGGAAATATAATCATTTTGATTATGTTGAAGCTAAAATGTTATTGTGAAACGTGGCCATTTTTATTCGTATTATGCATTTTTTTTGTATAAATAACATTGAGGAATATAAATGCACCACTTTCGTTTACTGCATATTTCACCTATGAAGATTGTAGTAGTTCTGTATATTTCTGTTATTAATGTTAGGCAACAGGTTGTTTGACTTGCGTCTTCATGATGATTGAAGACTGATGGGATAGTGTGTATTTGTTTACATTTTTATAGTTATGAATATTATCATTACATTTCGTTTCATGTCAGAGACTCATATGTTCCACATAAACACAGTCGTAAGTGTAACTGCTCCATGTGAATGTGACATGTATTGAGAAAATTAATTCTAGGTATATTATGAATTTAAATGAGATGAATATAAAAATAGCATAAAACATAAATCATTAGCTTTTATATGCATCATGCTTGTAGTCTGTGAGTTAAACTGCATGCGAGACATTGCTATGGGTCAGTTCTTTGAGCTAAGAGAATAAACTCATCACATACCTCACACCTGCTAGAACTCTTTGTTTATTCACTATTTATTTATTTTATTTTTTTAATTTCATGAAATTTGGTTTGAGCTATTAAGCACCATGTGATTATTTGAATTCACTCTTTATTTGGCCACTTTTACCATCCTTGACTTGAGTATGAGAGTCTTGAATGTGAAGTGTTTAATTTTTGCACCACTAAACATTTTTTTTCACATACACACTTTTTAATTTTTTCCCCAAAAGTTTGGAATAATTAAGATTTTTTTTAACTTGAAGGATCATTTGACACTGAAGACTGGAGTAATGGCTGCTAAAAATTCATCTTTGCATCACAGAAATAAATTAAGTTTTAAAATATGTTACAATAGAAAATAGTTATTTTAAATTGTAATAATATTTCCCATTATTACTGTTTTTATAGTGTTTTCCATCAAATAAATGTAGCCTTGGTGAGCATCAGAGACTTATTTTAAATATATATATATATATATATATTCCAAACTGTGAAATTCAAAGGTGATTGTTTTCAAACAGGTTTCCAAGTCCTCAAGCATTTTACAAAAATTGAAATGTGTGAAAAACTATCAAAGCTTGTTTCCGCCACAGGGTAAACTTTTTTTTAAAAAAGGTAATTGTGACTTTTTTGTATCACAGTTCAGACTTTTTTTCACAATTCTGAATTTATATCTCGCAATTCAGACATTTTTTTCTCAGATTTGCAAGTTTATATCTCCCAGTTCCAATTTTATATCTCAAAACTTTATATTTATTTTTTTTATTTTATCCCATGGAGAAATCAATCTTCTGTAGAAAACAGTAAAAAATCAAGTCTAGAAAGTCAAGACTAGTTTTCCACAGTTTTAGTTTTTACATTAACATTTCAAATCTACTTGGCAACGATGACCGTTTACTCTAAGTGATGATTCCTCTAAATGTATTCACATTTTACAGCATCTATTCGCCCTGATGTCTGTTCATAAACACATAGTAATGTTTCTCGGAGAGAGAGATGTTTTATGGACACAGCTCTGGTCTCAAGTGACTGCATTCTCTAATTAGGAGCGCATTAGAGCTCCCGTAACTTCAGTCCTGACCATTTCAACTCCACCATAATCATCCACTTCCGCAAAACACCACAGTTTCTCTGCTAATGAGCTTTTATGTGAAAAAGCTTCGTTTTTTTTTTTGTCCTCAGAGGTTTTGTGTGTGAGTGTCTGACCGCACACATCATCACCTAATGCTTTGATTTGCAGGCTTAGTAGCAAATGTCATTGTTTTATTTATTTAGTATACATATATATATGAACACACAACAAATCTGATGAACACAAAAAAGTCTGCATTGATGCAATCAAGAAAATAATTATGCTAATTATTATTATCAATATTAATGTTTGCAAAAAATTATAATTATATTTTTATTATTTATCTTCACAATCTAATGATAAAATAATAATTATTATTATTATCAATCAATTCAATATTAATCAATTAAAAAACTATTTTTTAACCTAAACATTGACATTTATAATAATATTTTTTTTAATTAATTTTTTTTTTTTTTTTTCAATGTCAATGTTGGTAAAAAATAAGAATTACAATTTGATTCTTTATCACCACAATTTAATAATACTGCTACTAATAATAATAATCATAATAATAATAATTGTTGTTGGTGTTGTTGTTGTTGTTGTATTGTGGTGATAAGAATAATATACTTTTCTTAATTTTTTACCTACATTGGCATTTATACATAATTTCCAGAAGACTCCCGGAATTATGATTATATGAAAGATGAAATCAATAATTCATTGAAATCTAGGATTTATTAGTAAACACAAATACTGAAAAGGACATTTGGCCACAAAATACATCCGAATAGATCATCAAGAAAATCTGTCTCTTTACGTGATTCAGAACCTGCTGGCTGAGTCTATTAGGACTTGATTAATTATTAATCTGAGATCTCAGATGAGCTCTTATCTGAAGATGACTCAATCTCCAGCCTGGCATACAGGGAAGAAAAAGAAAAAAAGATCTTACCATTTTCTAGTTATACAATAAAACTCCCTCAGCATTCTCGTTTTTCATCTCGTGTCATTTGTGGTGTTTATTTCCGTTTTACACTAATGGTCATTTTAGATAATGCAGAATAATTCAGTTAGATTCACAGACTGCCTCTCATTTGAACCCATCAGTAAGACAATAACTTAATAATTAAAGAAAAACACAATTAAGCAAGTGGCCAAAACCAAGACGTTTCCTCTCGAGAGCCGCAAACCGGGGCCGCAGGAGCACAGATGGTGTAGTGGGCCGAGTCAGTATA